TGTGCCCCAATGATAAGCGCAGGAGTTGTTTGAATCATCGCGAACTTCACCGCGCAGTTTGCCGCGCGCACACGGAATCGCACGAATCGTGCGCCCCCCATTGGAAAAGTAGGCGCGCTTCAATGCAATATAGACTTTTCTTTAAATGTGCCGAGGAAAAATTCAAGATGCAAGTGTCTTGAAAGTCCAATCTGATCCAAACTTTAGGGCGCCGGGGTTCTGACAAAGGTTAGCGCTTATTAGCTCAATTTTTCAAGTAGAACCGCACGCGATTATGGGCATGAAAGAATAAAGCTGTAGCGATTAGTGACCAAAATAGACCACGCTCCAATTGATTTTGATTTCCCGTACACTGTTCGAAGAACGGTGAAAGAGATAGACGTGCCAAGGTCAACGATGAAGCGAATTGTCTGTAAAAAAATGAAATGGTAGGCATAGAGGAGTACTCGGTATTCCAGAAAAGAAGGGAGAAGATGGCGAGGAAACCAGAAAAGTAGAAAGGAATAACGCCAAGGGTATGTTATAATGGGTGAGGCAATGATATACGGTGTGGCGCGTTCGATGGCGCTGTGCCTACGCTCTCCAGCGCGAACAGTGTAGCCGCTGGTTGGACTTCTCGAGAGGCTATGATGTAGAAACCAAAACATAATCTGTCAATCCTCCGATAATTGTGACGAGACACGTCTGGTAACTGAGCTCCCGAAACTTTTTACCTCAAAAAACTGTGTGCATCGCTTTGTTCGCAATTTTTCTGTTCCTTCTCAATGCACGTAGCGTGGTGAACAAACTCACCGATCTCCACCACCTTGTTTCTGTCTATAAACCCGACGCACTTTTTATCACAAAAACCTGGCTCATTTCCAAAATTACTGATTTCGGAACTGTTTCTGCTTTGCCTTAAAAAATTTTATGAAGGGATAGGGAGAACAAGCGTGGTTGTTGTGCTTGTGTTGTTCTACTGCAGCAACACATTTACTTCAAAGCTATTCATTTTAATCCTCCTAGCATATCTGCAGATGCTTTTTGTTTCGATAAGCTTTCCAGCTCATTTGAGTACACTCGCTTTATATTGATTTATCGACCTCCTAATCAATGTGCGTCTAATGACGAAAAGTTGTGCAGTCTCATTTCTGATTTGTGTTCGAGTCTTTTATTAGTGTTTTACTCGGAGATCTCAACCTTGATATCGACTGCTCCAATCGCGATGCACTCCCAGCCCACAGGCAAAAGTTTTGCCGTTTCGTCACCCTGTTTTCCCACCTGAATCTTATACAAAATGTTTCTCAACTCATATGCGGGGATTCGATTCTTGATGTTGTCTTTACCTCCCCAAACCTTTGCACTAGTGTCACTATCAACCATTCACTTAAATATTTTAGATCACAACGTGGTCAACTTTCGGATCGATATGAAACCGATTGGAAATCCATGATAGGGACAATAACTGTGGCATTGGTCGGAAAGAGATTTCTGAAGCTAATGTAGTACTGATCACTGATCAACTCTGAATTTGATAAAATTGATTGGTTCCCTATGTTTGATCAATTCTGCTCCATTGACGTCTACATTAGATTCTCATTTACTGTGCACGATATCACTGAGCGACATGTGCTCAATGGAACCGAGTCTCTCCATGGGAAAGATACCCTCAACGTCCATGACCTATTCGAATACAGAGAAAGACTGTTTTATAATTTCGGCAACCCCATTCGACTTTCATTCTTTCATTCAGAAACATAGTGACGGTTTGAATGCCTATGGCCGAATCACTGACTTTCGAGGGCCATCCAATGTGAAAGCCAGTGCTTTCATCCTCTCAGAAGAGTTTGGTACCAATTAACCGTTCCCTTGGGGATGAAGGAATTATTCGACCTAGGCGGATATCACTCCATGATTTGAACCGTGGATCAAGCGCTGTGATATTGCGTTGCTTATCCCTATACCACAAATTAAACCGAAAAAATGCTAAAAAGAGCAAAACTTTCTACAAACCGAGAACGATTGACTAATCCTTTCAAGTATTTCCTCCCGTCCGAGTTTGAACACCGGTATCAAGATAGAACAATTATGAAGCTTTTCCAATTCAGACATAACCCTGAAAGCATATGCAAATCTCTTCTGAATGGATTAAGAGAAGTAAAAATAGAGAATGGAGAACTCGAACATTTTTTCAGCTTCAGCTCTGTCAGGGAACCCTTCGCTGCGGTCCAAATGAGTATTGTCGAAATAAATTTTGGAGATATATGTCTGTAAATCGAAATAAGATTGAAGCACACCAGCAGCACTGAGGAGCAACTCACGTCAGCCAGTTTTATGAAAGAGGGATCATTATTGAAACGAGAGAGTAAGCGATGATCTGCCCGGAAGTCGCCCGTGCACAATATTGCTCCACCAGGGATCGATGCACCTGAGGAATTACAATTAATATATTCCGTATGACGACAAGATTGAATAAATCAACATCAGAACTATAGGTTTCGATATTAAATCGTTGTTAAGTTGTTGCCCCATAACTGCAAATAAGGTAACGTTTGCAAAGATGAGGACTTGTTACCGAACAGAAAGACACTCATTTCTGATATCCATCATTTGCCGCAGTTCACTGGTTATGCCTGCGTTTGCGCTGTGGCAACGAGTTGTCGTTCATAAGGAATTCACCGTAACTGAAGAAACAACCAGCACTACAGAAATGTGGGTGCTCTAGTAGTCATCTGTGAGAGTTGCAAGAGTTGAGTAAGTTATTTAACCGACTGTATAGAATGCTTACGGAAATCTAAAATTTCGGAGCAGCATTGTGCCTATCGATACTATATTCTAAGCAATACACCACCTTTTCTATTATTCCATTCGGCCGGTCTGTTATTCTACTCACCCGGTGAAGCAAACCAAAACTGTCAATATATTCGGAAACGAAATGATATTCAAATTTCGCAAAAATTTCGCTGCTTCCATATTTGTTTTGAAGTGTAAACGGCGCTTTTGCTATGACATTCTGCCAATGGCTCATGGATTTGTTTTTTTTTGGGTCTGTTAGCCTCCACGAAGTGACGATTAGTTCCCTTTCCACTCGTATAAACTTTGATAAATTAGAGGAGGATACCGAATCATCGGTACCGATCAGTATTGATTTGTTCTGTAATGGCAACGGCGTTTATACTACCTTCACTGAACGATGGAAGTATCTCCTCCAAGTTTGTCATAAAATGATGGGGAGCTCGGCGAAAGCCGGGGGAACCGATTATATAACATGTAAGCTCTCTTCAAAAACCAAATTGAACACAAGGTTTCTGAGATAGCGATCACTAAAAAACTTTTCGAGTACGTTCTTCGGACTTTTCAAGACGAAGCTGACTTATTGAGAAGATTAAAAGAGAACACTTAAAATAGATTTTTAAACATTGCAAGAATGAAATAATTGTAGTTAAAATCACCTTCAAATAAGAACATAGCAGAACCTATGCAGTGATTGGCGTCCAAGACAGTCACCTAAACATGAATCATAATGTAATTCCGAATCTTGTGATTCAGGGATTCAAATTTTCTTTGCTCATTCCCACTGCTGACGAAACCTAATTTTCAAGATGTAACAGTTCAAGATAAACTAACGTGCAAGTTTGGTTCGATCACATGTGTCTCTCCCACTTTGAGCGGTCGCAACAGTCGTGGAGGTATGGCTCTAGCCCTAAAAGCGGCGACCATGAACGATAATGAGGGTGACTGAGTGATCCTTTGAAGTAAGGCAACCTCACGGGAATGGAGGGCCAAAACAGTAGGAGTAACAAAATTTACCCCATCATTACCGGCAGCAGTTTTGCTGTTACTTCGGAACAATATATCGGCGTTTTCCAAGATTTCTAAATGGAAGATCAACGATGAACATGATATGGTAGAAGTCCTCTCCCCAAACAAGGAAAAAACACATATGCTCTCGATAAAATTAGAGTTGTTGGAAAACTGCACTCACGTTAAGGTTTACAAAGTGGTCCGTGTGAGCATGGGTCAAAAAATGGTACTTGCACTCATCCTTACGGCTAAAATAGCTTTTTTGAAGCCAGTCAGTAGTTTCGTGCATATGATTACAAACTAACTCACACAAACCGATCTATCGCAATATACCGTTGACCAATGATGACTTTATTGCATTTGGGTACCTCATTTTCGGGGTATTCGCAATTCACTTCACTGAAAATAATATCAACAAATAAAAACGAACCAAATAAAAATGACTCATTAAAAACGGTATCACCTATATAAGGCGCTAACTCTTTGCATATAGCCTTACTGCAAAGAAACAACAAAAAAAATCGTCCACAAGCTGACATAAAAGGAATTTTTGTGTGCTGCAATGTCATAAGAAAAACTCAGTGCCTTAACACTTTGGGGATACATGGTTCGAGCTTTGTTCAAGAAAGAAATCGTTAAAAACGTGAAAATGGTCGAACTGGATTACTGAACAAATTCATAGAACCAAGTTTCTCTTTAGCCGTGCACCGCGTTTTTACGAAATTGGAATGATAGTGATGAGCACCACTTTATGGACAAAACTCATAGGAACTGCACTTAGCGAGCCAAATTTTCCGAATTTATATCTTCACACTCATTTAGGGAATGAGCGTGCTATCTGGGACTGAAAATGCTTATGGTTCTCTCCGAATCTCTTGAAAATTTTCAGTGACAAGGTATGAAAAGGAGAGACTCGACAATGGAGAAATACTCAGGCTTTGCCCGAAATATGTTCACTATCACTATCGTAATCTGTAATGGTGAATGTATTTCCCATCAGTGGATCATAAAAAATGATCGCATTGGTAACATTTAACCAAATCCGTCCGAACATTTACAAACACTTTGCACTACCACAAACCCGAAGGAAGCGGTTACCTAGCAATACGAAGTTTTGAATTCCAATTTTCAGAGCGCGCAAACTCAAGTTGACAAATTCCTACAAGCACCAGCACAAATCTAACATTACAGGAAGTCAACGCTACAAACCTTTCGTTCGGTGGTTGATGGAGTGATGCTTCCAATGCCTCAACCTCCCGTTCTTTTGCCATCTGCTCAGCAAATGGCAATGTGGTAGCAACGGATGGAATTATATGGACAGCGTTGAGAGACTCACTGCCGAATCGCACACTTCGGGCGCTGAATGGTCAAACGATACATGAATTCATGCAAACATTAGCTACTGAAGTCGAAGAAGTCGAATCACTTCAATTATATGTAGAGCACGGGAACAAAGGAAAGGAGAGATAATATGTAAACCAAAACCTATGCGTTGCTCGTGCTGAAGAAGGCCTCAAAGCCGAGTTGTTTCGAGTGGGTGTGCTGTTATTTCTATTAGCTGCGACGAACGAAATGCTTAAAGTAGGTCTTACTAGCTGAGAACATCATAATTTATGCAAGACAGTAGAACAGGAAAAACAGTACCTTTGGGGCGATTTCTTCGGAGAAGCAGGTGGGTCATTGGATGCTGCTGCACTGTCAGAAGCAGGATCTTTGCTGGTCTTGGATGGCGTCCGCTGTGAACTGAAGGAAAACCATATATTGCCATTTCGTGAAAAGGTTTCATAAGAAGCATTCAAACATCCCTTACAAAAGCCGTCATGCCTAAACTGGACCAAATAAAATATAACAAAGCAACTTTTTTGACTTGATGTCTTGTTAACTGCTCTTATATCGCCGCAGTACGCTGTCCGAAAGTCTCACAAGGTGGGGGACGGAACTTACGAGCGTCCGAGGATGCGCGCGGCAAATTGCGCGGCGAGGTGCGTGAAGATTCGAACGACTCTGGCGCCTATCATTGGTGTCCAAATTTGAAGTAGAGTAGATTAGTAGTATCAGCTGACTCTACATTCGAATATATTCTCTACATATCGTTCGAATCACCACGCACTTCGCCGCGCAATTGGCCGCGCGCATCTTCGGACGCGCGTATGTACCCATACCCTCACAAGGTTGGCGATTTACGGACAAAACTTTAGTCTCGGACGGGACTCGAACTCGTACTCGTCCTTTCCGGGGACCGTGCTATCATCCCTTACAAAGAGACCCCGTTTACCCTCGCCTTCCATAACAAAGCACTTCACTTCAACGCAAATCTCACAAAGGGACATTATGTGCAAGACATATTACCGGATAGCTAACGTCTGCGGCTTTTTTGCATGCTTTAATCCTTTTTTTAGAACATTCAATAAAATTGTCTCATTCTCCTGTACATGTGGCGCAAGAGACGCTTAGGAACCTTGCTCAAAAGAAACGAATAATCATTGCTTTATTGCTACGCTTATTGTATAGATGCGAACCTTGTTATGTGCAAACGGCATCTGTTGAAATCGAAGAGCCGAAGTCAGAAGGTTGTCTGGTTGTGACAATACGCGTAACAAATGGAGTGCTAGAGAACACTTTGAGCTGAACGCGTAAATCGACTGTGTGGGCAGAAATCAATACTTTTTGATCCTAACCGGTTTTTTTTTTTGCCATAAAACTTCAAAACATGACGGAGAGCGTGTTGCATCAAACTTCGACCTCGCGAAGGACTCGAACCCGTATTGTGCTTCACGGGCACCGTGCTCTTTTCCTCTTACACTGACGAGACCCCGCTTGTCCTTTCCTTCTTTAATGGCTTTGTGATAATTCACATTTAGCGCAAAAGAATACCCACTGATGACCTATAAACCGGAAAAATTTGATACTTGACTTCGAGGTTGGACAATACTCCATGAAAACATTTCATCTCTTGGACCACCGGTCCGTCTGATATCCATTTCAGTGAACGGGCGCCAGTAGACTCTGCTCCCTGTGAAAGTTGACTTTCATTTCGTTTAGAGCGGTCAAAGAACTCTGACAATCATGATGACTGCCTCCACAAGGGATACAGCTAGTGGCAGCCATCTATTAGTGCGCCCTTTCTTCAGCGGCTGGATGAAGTGAGCTGCGTACTCATCCCACTTGCATAGAGTCCAATTCTCTGCCTAATCGGCTCTACAGCTGAGTTCATGCTGACTTTTCGACGTAGGTACATGTAGCTAGTGTACACAAATGTTAGCGCCATAGAGAGTAAAAAAACGGCATATGCCACCCCGTTTTACATGAACATCGTCTTTCAGGTCCATTCTCAAGTCAAGCTTTCCACGGTGTTGTCAAAGTCGGCCAGCATTGGATCCGCCTGCTTGATGTTCGTGTGTTATCAGCATGATGTCGCCCGCAAAGCGGAGATGATCTAGGTAGCGACCTTCTCTCAAAAGTCTTCCCGTTCCGAATGTTGCAAGATGCGCTCAACAGCGGCGCTTTGAAAGAGATGCTTTGACCCCTCTCCATTTGACTTACGAAGCCTCTCTCAAACGATGAGCGTGTGACGTACCGCGTCTTGTATACTGGCAATTCTTGAGTGAGTATTGCCAGATACAAGACGCCGTTACGTCGTAGGTTCATTGATAGGGTCTATATGATCGACTGTAGTGAACAATTCATAAAAACCTGTTGCTAGCCTGTCCTTCATTCACTGTCGTGTCAATCCTGTAGAAGGTGACACGTGTGAATAGTTCAAAATCTGCAAGATTACAGACACTAGGAAGATTGGCAGGTCTCCGCACTTGAGCCATTTTAGTTCTCCACGAAGTGTGCACCTGCATTGCGGCAGACCGCATAAAGAGCTAAGCCAGTGTTTTGACGATGTTTTGACGGCAAGAGGCTTTTATGTGTCCTGGTTCGTAGGTATCGAAACCGAGCTCTGTATAGTAGTTTATCGAAAAGATGCCATGCAGAATTTGGAAGGGGAGGACTTAAGGTACGATCATATGTCCTGTCTATCTAAAATGATAAGCAGGCAGGTAGACATGGCGGCTACTGAAAAGGTCAGAAAAGGTCATCATTGAGAAGAGAAGAAGTCGTGGGTAATCTTTAACACTACCCGTCGAGATGTGCATGTTTTCAGTAGCCCTTCGAGTTTTCACAATACGAAGGGCGATAAAAACAATTACCTCACCGAATTATTACCTCCTCGTGTAGTTGTTAAAACAATTATGTTCGTTCGAAAAAACACTTGGCCTCACTTTCTCGAATCCGTCTCGGGAACCTGAGGGGAATTACCACGTGACGAACATTCAAGTGCAAGATTGCTTTCAGCGTCTTCTTCACCTAATCTTTTTGTTATTCGTGATCTGAAATATGAAGATGTAAATATAGAAGCCTAGCACAATTTTTAATTAGAGCGAGCTTATAAAAAATGGCCGCGTTACACGACGAGCTAGCCCCTTTTCAATACTATACATCACCCAACGTTCAAAAAACTACGAACGCAAAAATCACCTCCATACGGAAGACTTCCGTCTTTTTCTTCCTTCATAGGTGGGCCGATTGCTAGGTGACACCCTTAAAGATATTTCTTTGAATCTTTGGCGGAAAACTGAGCAAAATGTTCAGCAAGGCAAGGCACCAAAAATAGAAAATAAGTAAGTGTTGAATCCGAAGAAAGGAAAATGATTACAGTCATCTAGAATCAAAGCGCTAAATAAGGAACATTAAAATGGATAGAACTCACGCTTCAGTAGTCTTCGCAGGTGCTGAGCTCAATAGAACATCGTTCAAACTATCTGCATGGGTGGGGGACATGTTCACTCCACTGCTGTGACTTGGTTGGAGCCTTAAAAATTCAACATTCACTTTTATGATGGCAAGTAGAAGGCTGAAAAGAGTACCTATCTGGAGATGCAATGAGATTTTCAGAGGGCGCATCAGCCATCTCCTGATTCGCTACATTCGATGCTGTAGCTATCGGCAACCTAAGGGCCTCCCGTAGATTGAGAGCGCCGTCAGATTCTGTCCGGAATCGTTTCGATCGCCTCCTAAAATGCGGCGACCGTACAAAATAAAGAAACAAGAAGAAACAGAACCCAGAATGTACCTGTCCGATGTTTTTGAAGAGCACGCCGTAGAAAAAGTGAATGATTGAGTTTTACGCCGTAAACGTTGAACCTTAAGTGGTGAAGATGAGGACTGCTGCAGGTCTTTGTCTCTGCGGATATGCTGCCTGGAAAGTTTAAATGCATCTCCGGTTAGATAAACTCACTGATGCCAATGACTAGCGACCAGTGATGTACAGTTCTTAAGCTGGAAAACTGCACGAGAGGACATATAAAAAACTAAACATATACATTCACACGATCGAAGTTCAAAATCACTAACTCTGTCCTTCGCAGTTCCGTCGGATCTCTGCAGTTGCTATCGTCTGAAGAGTCTAGCGGCAAATCGTAAACTGTACTATTGGCAGAAGAACAGTCTTCAGGAGATGCACACGACCTGAAGCGATTCTATCCTCAACAAAAGAGGTAAACTAAAGACAAAAGACACGGGAGAAGAAAAATGATAAATATGAAGTCTTAGGATGTTAAGCAACCCTGTCTGAGGAATGCGCCCATGCATTCGACTTCCATCCAGCATTAAAGCGGCGCAATGAATGCGTATGTGGCGGATATAATGACTTGCGGTGGCTAGCCGATGTACAAGTCAGAGCTTTTACCTTCCCAGACGATCTGGTACCAATTAAGCGACCCCAGGAGAATGGAAAGCTTGGTTGGCCAAAAGTTTTCGTTCAAAAGAGATAATGATTGGAAATTCAGTGAAGGTCCTCCGTAGATGAAAGTTTCTGAGTCCAAAAAATGAACGGAGATCGATACAACACTCACGGAACACCCAAAATACAACTTATTGAAATTCACATATAAACTAGGAAGAAGATTAGAAAGAAGGGGAGAATCGTAAAGTGCCTATTAATCACACACTCCTGATAAAAACCGCTGAACTATGCGGCTACCATACTTAGTGAAAATATTGATGTGAAAAGCAGTGCTGTTATCACTTCCAGACAAAATTGGTTCTTATTTGAACTCAAATAGGTTGCTAATGCATCCCTACCCCCGCGCTCGGTCTCTATCAATCATGTGGTGAATGAGAGTGACTTTCGCCAATCTGCATTTCAATTACATCTTAAAAAACCTTTTTTTGAAGTGAAACCTGCCTTCCATCATCCATGGCGCGTGTACCTTTTGACGTCCTCTTTCCCGACCGAGTCCCAACCATATCACTTGAATCTTCCTAAAATAAGTTTCCGTGAAAGTTGTATAAATAAAGACGTGTTTCAGTTTGAACGAGCACAGTCTTATGAGAGAGCTTTTTTGATCATGGTAACAAAATTCCCGAACGTGAACGAGCGCCTAAAATATACGATGGCTAGAGCAAAAAGCGAATCAAGACTAGGCTACATAACGGTAAGATATCTAACGAATCTGCTATGCTGATCCCATCGCAGAAAATTTTTCCTTATTAATCAATCATGGTTTATGAGGGATGGTCGGTTTTAGGTGTTGGAGCGGTGAAATGGAGAGGATCTGCACTGATGAAGGATGAAGAGGACTTCCACTCTACCCACACAGTGAGGTTGCTTGGCTCTACAAGGACCCTTGCAACACAATGCCCTTTATCAGCACTTATCACATGTTAACATCGAAAGCCACGCACTATCCACGATCCCAATACATCTCATTCCAATATTCACGATTCCGTTACATCTCACACCGTCCACCACAGTGTGAAGATTCCTCTGCCACTGTGGAAGATTCTCGGCCACATTAGTTGCAATCACCATCTGCCACCTATCATCTACGATTCCGTCTCCGTCACCACCATCCACCACAGTGTCAAGCCTTCACTGTTGACAAGTAGGGTGTAACCAACTCGGTTGCCCGTGCTTTCTATGGCCCTTTGAATCCAATTCTTCTCAGCCTTATTCGTTATCCATTTCTTTCACCCCTACTATCCACACACATACCAAGCTCAAGAATACCACTAACGATGGGAAGAGCGCAACTACTGCTATGGCTCAGCCTTCTATAACACCTTATCGGTCCCTGCAAATTTTAATGCTCCATGTCCAGGGAAGTAGGGGTTAGGAATTCCCGGCCAAAAACGAACACACATAGATAACTACATATATGAGAATGGGATTGATATTACTCCAAAGCCGTGAGCAAACGTGATACATTACAGCGGATGCGTTCATACTAACGGCGTTCTTGCACTGGCGTCGGCGTTTCTCGAAAAAAAAACACCAATACTGCCAAGCTTTTGGCTGCCGATCAACGTAGTTCATGAGTTTTATACAAAAGTAGTTTCATAGAAAATAAGGCACATGAAAAGAACGGATGGTGACCAAGACATCAATCTATTTTACACCTTCGAAGCAAGAACGCAACAAAATGTACATGCCCGTCCGTGGCAATTTGCCAA